GAATTTTACCAAAAATCACTTTTTTTGGCTCATTTTAGTTACAAGGGAGGGGTCGTTTAATTTTTTAGGGGCGATTTATGGGAGAAGGGGGAACGTTTTCCCCTGAACGATGGGAATTCACCTCGTTTTCTCAGCAGGAAGTTGGAAAAATTGCTTTTTTTTTTTGGGGGGGTGAAAATTGCCCAGATTTGGGGAAAAAAAAAAATCAGCAATTCCAGGATTTCTCACAAATCCATCGGTTTGGGTGGGAACAACGAGCGTCGCTCCAGATGCCGCCGGGGCCGATGATCCCACAATCCTTCTCCTCCCGCTCCTTGTCCTTCTTCCACGTGTTCCAGTAGCTGCAAAATGGGGGAAAATCAGCCCAAAACGGGCAAAAGCCAACAAAAAAACCTCAAAAAGAGCCCAAATCGCTCATTTTAAGGCCTAAAAAGCAGCAAAAATGCGCTTTTTTTCAACACCGCCGCCACCAAAACACCCTCAAACACCCCCAAAACTCCCAACCCAAGTTTTTCCACCCTGAAACCTTTGGAATTCTGTCAAAATGTCAAAAAATAAAGCTTTTTTGGGTGGATTTCCCCCTTTTTTTTGGTTTATCATCGATTTTTTTCCCGTTTCTGGGGGATTTTTACCTAAAATTGACCTGTTGGCCGTTGGTCCAGACCCACGTTCCTTCCACCAGTTCGTCCGTCGCCCCCAACCAGTAGGTCCCAGTCTCGATGTTGTCCATCAGGAAACCCTACCCCCCAAAAAAACCCCAAATTTGGTGAATTTCAGATATAAAAAAAAGAAGGTTTTGGAAATCCTGCTCCCAATGTTTTCCTTCGGGAAATTCTACCCCAAAAAACCACCAAAATTAGTTAAAACGCTCACAAATTTAAGAATTCTGATGGATGACGGAGCAACTGGAGGATTTTGGGGTCAGCCTGGTGATATCTGAGTGTTTTTTGGGGTAAATAATGACTAATTTGGGTCTGTTGAAGAAAAGGGCTCCAAAAAGGAGTTTTTTGAGGGTTTTTCACCATTTTTAGCAATTTTTCCCCAAAAACAAGAAGCTGACAACAATGGAACTTGCCTTGGCCTTTGGAACTTCCCTCCACTCTCAACATTTCTGGGCCAAATTGGCCAATTTTGGTTAATTTGGGTTTAAAAAATAGGGTTAGAGCGCTCACAAAATTAAGAATTCTGATGGATGACGGAGCAACTGGAGGATTTTGGTGTCAACCTGGTGATATCTGAGTGTTTTTTGGGGTAAATAATGACTAATTTGGGTCTGTTGAAGAAAAGGGCTCCAAAAAGGAGTTTTTTGAGGGTTTTTCACCATTTTGAGCACTTTTTCCCCAAAAACAAGAAGCCGTCATCAATGGAACTTGGCTTGACCTTTGGAACTTCCCTCCACTCTCAACATTTCTGGGTCAAATTGGCCAATTTTGGTGAATTTGAGTTAAAAAAATAGGGTTTGAGAGATCCTGCTGCGAATGTTGTTGTTTGGGAATAGCAATTTTTCCCCAAAAACAAGAAGCTGACAACAATGGAACTTGCCTTGGCCTTTGGAACTTCCCTCCACTCTCAACATTTCTGGGCCAAATTGGCCAATTTTGGTTAATTTGGGTTTAAAAAATAGGGTTTGAGAGATCCTGCTGTGAATGTTATTTGGGAAATTTTACCCCCAAAAAACCCATTGAAATTAGTTAAAAATTAGGTTTTTCTCTAAAAACAAGAAGCCAACATCAACGGAACTTGCCTTGACCTTTAGAACTTTCCTCCACCCTCAACATTTCTGGGTCAAATTGGCCAATTTTGGTTAATTTGGTAGGGTTTGAGAGATCCTGCCACGAATGTTATTTGGGAAATTTTACCCCCCAAAAACCCATTGAAATTAGTTAAAAATTAGGTTTTTCCCTAAATCAAGAAGCCAACATCAATGGAACTTGGCTTGACCTTTGGAGCTTCCCTCCACTCTCAACATTTCTGGGTCAAATTGGCCAATTTTGGTGAATTTGAGTTAAAAAAGTAGGGTTTGAGAGATCCTGCTGCGAATGTTGTTGTTTGGGAAATTCTACCCCCCAAAAAAATTTGGTTAAAAATTAGGTTTTTCCCTAAATCAAGAAGCCAACATCAATGGAACTTGGCTTGACCTTTGGAGCTTCCCTCCACTCTCAACATTTCTGGGTCAAATTGGCCAATTTTGGTGAATTTCTAAAAACAAGAAGCCAACATCAACGGAACTTGCCTTGACCTTTAGAACTTTCCTCCACCCTCAACATTTCTGGGTCAAATTGGCCAATTTTGGTTAATTTGGGTTAAAAAAATAGGGTTTGAGAGATCCTGCTGCAAATGTTTTGGTTTGGGAAAAACATCGATGGAACTTGCCTTGGCCTTCGGAGCTTCCCTCTACCCTCAACATTTCTAGGCCAAATGGGCCAATTTTGGTTAATTTGGGTTAAAAAAATAGGGTTTGAGAGATCCTGCTGCAAATGTTTTGGTTTGGGAAATTTTACCCCCGAAAAACACCAAATTTGGTTAAAAATTAGGTTTTTCCCTAAAACCAAGAAGCCGATATCGATGGAACTTGGCTTGACCTTTGGAGCTTCCCTCTACCCTCAACATTTCTAGGCCAAATGGGCCAATTTTGGTTAAATTGGGTTAAAAAAAATAGGGTTCTGAGGATCCGGAAATTCTACCCCCCAAAACCACTGAAATTAGTTAAAAATTAGGTTTTTCCCTAAAACCAAGAAGCCGATATCGATGGAACTTGGCTTGACCTTTGGAGCTTCCCTCTACCCTCAACATTTCTAGGCCAAATTGGCCAATTTTGGTGAATTTGAGTTAAAAAAATAGGGTTTGAGAGATCCTGCTGCGAATGTTGTTGTTTGGGAAATTCTACCCCCGAAAAACACCAAAATTAGTTAAAAATTAGGTTTTTCCCTAAAAATAGAAGCCAACATCAATGGAACTTGGCTTGACCTTTGGAGCTTCCCTCCACTCTCAACATTTCTGGGTCAAATTGGCCAATTTTGGTGAATTTGAGTTAAAAAAATAGGGTTCTGAGGATCCGGAAATTCTACCCCCCAAAACCACTGAAATTAGTTAAAAATTAGGTTTTCCCCTAAAAACAAGAAGCCAACATTGATGGAACTTGCCTTGGCCTTTGGAACTTCCCTCCGCCTTCAATATTTTGAGGTCAACTTGGCCAATTTTGGTTAATTTGGGTTAAAAATCTGGGGATCCTGTTCGAAATGTTTTTCTTCGGGAAATTCTACCCCCCAAAACCACCGAAATTAGTTAAAAATTAGGTTTTTCCCTAAAACCGAGAAGCCGACATCGACGGAACTTGCCTTGACCTTTAGAACTTTCCTCCACCCTCAACATTTCTAGGCCAAATTGGCCAATTTTGGTTAATTTGGGTTAAAAATCTGGGGATCCTGTTCGAAATGTTTTTCTTCGGGAAATTCTACCCCCCAAAACCACCGAAATTAGTTAAAAATTAGGTTTTTCCCTAAAAATAAGAAGCCGACATCCATGGAACTTGCCTTGGCCTTTGGAACTTCCCTCCGCCTTCAATATTTTGAGGTCAAATTGGCCAATTTTGGTTAATTTGGGTTAAAAAAACAGGGTTCTGGAGATCCCGTTCCAAATGGATTACTTTGGGAAATTCTACCCCCGAAAAACACCAAAATTAGTTAAAAATTAGGTTTTTCCCTAAAAATAAGAAGCCGACATCCATGGAACTTGCCTTGGCCTTTGGAACTTTCCCCCACTCTCAACATTTCTAGGTCAAATTGGCCAATTTTGGTTAATTTGGGTTAAAAATCTGGGGATCCTGTTCGAAATGTTTTTCTTCGGGAAATTCTACCCCCCAAAACCACCGAAATTAGTTAAAAATTAGGTTTTTCCCTAAAACCGAGAAGCCGACATCGACGGAACTTGCCTTGACCTTTAGAACTTTCCTCCACCCTCAACATTTCTAGGCCAAATTGGCCAATTTTGGTTAATTTGGGTTAAAAAAACAGGGTTCTGGAGATCCTGTTCCAAATGGATTCCTTTGGGAAATTCTACCCCGAAAAACACCAAAATTGGTTAAAAATTAGGTTTTTCCCTAAAACAAGAAGCTGACATCAATGGAACTTGCCTTGACCTTTAGAACTTTCCTCCACCCTCAACATTTCGAGGTCAAATTGGCCAATTTTGGTGAATTTGAGTTCAAAAAACGGGGTTTCAAGCCCTGCGTTGGCCCCGGGGCTATTTTTTTCCCGAAAGCGGGTATTTTTAGGGTTGGGAAAATGGTGATTTTTGGGCGACCGACCTGCTCGGGCTCGGAGTCGACGATGAGGAGGTGGGCGCCCAGGTCCGCGCAGGTTTCTCGCGCCTCCGCCCACGGCGTCGTCTCCGTCGAGAAGAAATAACAACTTTTCAAGAAGCTGACATCAATGGAACTTGCCTTGACCTTTAGAACTTTCCTCCACCCTCAACATTTCGAGGTCAAATTGGCCAATTTTGGTGAATTTGAGTTCAAAAAACGGGGTTTCAAGCCCTGCGTTGGCCCCGGGGCTATTTTTTTCCCGAAAGCGGGTATTTTTAGGGTTGGGAAAATGGTGATTTTTGGGCGACCGACCTGCTCGGGCTCGGAGTCGACGATGAGGAGGTGGGCGCCCAGGTCCGCGCAGGTTTCTCGCGCCTCCGCCCACGGCGTCGTCTCCGTCGAGAAGAAATAACAACTTTTCCCAAAATTTTTCCACCCGGAGGAGCATTTCCTCCCGTCCGTCACCGATTTACAAATCAGCCCTGAAACGCCCCAAAAAAACCCCCAAAATCGGGAAAAAAAAATCAGCTTCCTCCCACCAACAACCCCCCAGAGGTTCCTTTAAAAGGCGACGCTCCAAATCGCCGGAAATCCCCCCAATTTCCTGTCGCCGCCGCTGGAAAAGGGATTTAGGGGTGAAAATTAAGGTTTTTCGCGCCGAGTTGACAAAAATCGGTGTTTTTTTTACCCGCCACATCTTGTAATTCTTGGTAATATTGGTGCATCCCGCTCCGCAGCCGCGTCAGCTGCCGCCGCGTCTCCTCCAGCTCCTGCCGAACTGGGGGGGAAAAGGACAAAAAACATCAAAAATGCGTCATTTTACCCAAATCTTAAATTTTTTTTTTCACCCCTTCATTATTTTTCCCCAGGTGGAAATGGCAGTTTTCTACCAAAATTTCCTCCATCACCACGTGGGTTTTTTTTTTCCCTCTTTAATGACATTTTCCCCACGATATCACCCAAATTTTCATTTAATTAATCACCCCTTTGGCAGAAATTAAGGATTTTTCCCCAAATATTTGATTTTTGCAGAATTTTCATCCTTCATTTAATTTATCACCAGTTTGGTAAAAATTAAGGATTTTTCCCAAACTATTTGATTTTTGCCTGATTTTTTATAGGATGCTCATCCTTTGTTTGGTAGAAATTAAGAATTTTTCCCAAAATATTTGATTTTTTTCCAGATTTTTGAACAGGATTTTTCATCTTTCGTTTAATTAATCACTTGTTTGGTAAAAATTAAAAATTAATGATTTTTCCCCCAATATTTGATTTTTGCAGGATTTTTTATAGGATTTTCATTCTTTGTTTAATTAATCACCTGTTTGGCAGAAATTAAGAATTTTTCCCCAAATATTTGATTTTTGCAGGATTTTTTATAGGATTTTCATTCTTTGTTTAATTAATCACCCATTTGGTAAAAATTAAAAATTAATCATTTTTCCCCAAAATATTTGATTTTTGCAGGATTTTTATAGGATTTTCATTCTTCATTTAATTAATCACCCGTTTGGCAGAAATTAAGAATTTTTCCCCAAATATTTGATTTTTGCAGAATTTTCATCCTTCATTTAGTTAATCACCTGTTTGGTGAAAATTAAGGATTTTTTTCCAAACTATTTGATTTTTGCCTGATTTTTTTATAGGATGCTCATCCTTTGTTTAATTAATCCCTCGTTTGGTAGAAATTAAGAATTTTTCCCAAAATATTTGCTTTTTTTCCAGATTTTTGAATAGGATTTTTCATCTTTCGTTTAATTAATCACCCATTTGGTAAAAATTAAAAATTAATGATTTTACCTCAAATATTTGATTTTTGCCTGATTTTTAATAGGATGCTCCTCCTTTGGTAGAAATTAAGAATTTTTCCCAAAATATTTGCTTTTTTTCCAGATTTTTGAATAGGATTTTTCATCTTTCGTTTAATTAATCACCCGTTTGGTAAAAATTAAAAATTAATGATTTTTCCCCAAATATTTGATTTTTGCAGGATCTTTTATGGGATTTTCATTCTTCGCTTTTAATTAATCACCCGTTTGGCAGAAATTAAGGATTTATTTAATTGTTGATTTTTGGAGCAGAATCGGGAACCGCTCGAAAAAACAATTCCAAAAAATTCCATTTTTCCCTAATTTACACCAAAACGGGCAAAAAACAGCACCAGAAAAAACCCAAACACCCCCAAAACTCCTGAGAACTCACCGTTTTCTTCATTTTCTGAGTAGTTCGACCTCAAAAGCTTCAATTCCTCCAAAATTTGCATTTCTGAAAGGGAAAATGAACAAAAGCTTGAATTTGCCCAATTTATGGGGTTTTTTTAGGGAGAATGGGAGATTCTGGAGAGGAAATTTGGAGCTAAAACCCCCCAAAATTGAAATTTCCTTGTGGAATTAAAAACCCAAATTCAAATTTCAGCTCGGAATTAAATCCAAACCCAAATTCCCGCGTGGAAATAAAACCAAATTAAAATTCAAATTCCTGGGTAGAATTAAAATTCAAACTCCCACATGGAATTAAATCCAAATTCAAATTAAATTGTGGAATTAAAGCACCAAATTCAAATTCCCAAATGGAATTCAAACCAAATTTAAATTCCAATGTGGAATTCAAACCAAATCCAAATTAAGATGTGAAATTAAATCACCAAATTCTAATTTCCGCATGGAATTCAAACCAAATTCAAATTCCCACATGGAATTAAATCCAAATCCAAATTCAAATGTGGAATTAAATGACCAAATTCAAACATGGAATTAAAACCAAATTCAAATGTGGAATTAAAATCAAATTCAAATTCAAATGTGGAATTCAAACCAAATCCAAATTCAAATGTGGTATTAAATCACCAAATTCAAATTTCCGCATGGAATTAAATTACCAAATTTAAATTCAAACATGGAATTAAAATCAAATTCAAATTCAAATGTGGAATTCAAACCAAATTCAAATTCCCATGTGGAATTAAATCCAAATCCAAACTCAAATGTGGGATTAAATCACCAAATTCAAATTCTCACGTGGAATTAAATCACCAAATCCAAATTCACATGTGGAATTAAATCACCAAATTTAAATTCAAACGTGGAATTCAAACCAAATTCAAATTTCCACATGGAATGAGATCCAAATTCAAATCCAAATGTGGAATTAAATCACCAAATTCAAACTTGGAATTAAATCACCAAATTCAAATTCCCACATGGAATTAAATCACCAAATTTAAATTCCAATGTGGAATTAAATCCAAATCCAAATTCGAATGTGGAATTTAATCACCAAATTCAAATTCCCATGTGGAATTCAAACCAAATTCAAATTCAAACATGGATTTCAAACCAAATTCTAATTCCTTCATGGAATTAAATCACCAAATTCAAATGTGGAATTAAAACAAAATTCAAGTTTCCGCATGGAATGAAATCCAAATCCAAATTCAAATGTGGAATTAAATCACCAAATTCAAATTCAAACGTGGATTTCAAACCAAATTCAAATTCCCACGTGGAATTAAATCACTAAATCCAAATTAAAATGTGGAATTAAAATAAATTCAAATTCAAACGTGGAATTCAAACCAAATTCAAATTCCTGCATGGAATTAAATCACCAAATTTAAATTCAGATGTGGAATTAAAATAAAATTCAAATTCAAATGTGGAATTAAATCACCAAATCCAAATTCAAATGTGGAATTAAATCAAATTCCATTTCAAATGTGGAATTCAAACCAAATTCAAGTTTCCACGTGGAATTAAATCACCAAATCCAAATTCTCCCATGGAATTCAAACCAAATTGAAATTTCCACATGGAATTAAATCACCAAATTTGAATTCAAATGTAGAATTCAAACCAAATCCAACTTCAAATTTGGAATTAAATCACCAAATCCAAATTCTCCCATGGAATTCAAACCAAATTGAAATTTCCACATGGAATTAAATCACCAAATTTGAATTCAAATGTAGAATTCAAACCAAATCCAACTTCAAATTTGGAATTAAATCACCAAATCCAAATTCAAATGTGGAATTCAAACCAAACCCAAGTTTCCACATGGAATTAAATCCAAATCCAAATTAAAATGTGGAATTAAAACCAAATTCAAATTCAAACATGGATTTAAAACCAAATTCAAATCTCCACAAGGAATTAAATCACCAAATTTAAATTCCAATGTGGAATTAAATCCAAATCCAAATTCAAATGTGGAATTAAAATAAAATCCAAATTCAAATTTGGAATTAAATCACCAAATTCAAACGTGGAATTCAAACCTAATTTCAAGTTTCCACATGGAATTCAAACCAAATTCTAATTCTAACATGGAATTCAAACCAAATTCAAATTTGGAACTAAATCACCAAATCCAAATTCTCACATAGAATTCAAACCAAATCCAAATTCAAATGTGGAATTCAATCACCAAATTCAAATCCCTGCATGGAATTAAATCACCAAATTCAAATTCTCACATGGAATTAAATGTCCAGATTAAAATTCAAACGTGGAATTCAAACCTAATTTCAAGTTTCCACATGGAATTCAAACCAAATTCAAATTTGGAACTAAATCACCAAATCCAAATTCTCACATAGAATTCAAACCAAATCCAAATTCAAATTTGGAATTAAATCACCAAATTCAAATCCCTGCATGGAATTAAATCACCAAATTCAAATTCTCACATGGAATTAAATGACCAGATTAAAATTCAAACGTGGAATTCAAACCAAATTCAAATTCAAATGTGGAATTAAATCACCAAATTTAAATTCCAATGTGGAATTAAAATCAAATTTAAACTCAAATGTGGAATCAAACCACCGAATCCAAATGGGGAATTGAATCTCTATTTTTCTAGTTGGAAATGCTGTATGTTGGTGTTTTTCCCCAAACCCCGGGTTTTCCCCCCAAACTCACGCTGGCGCAGCCCCAGGGCGAGCAGCAGGACCCAGCCCCCCGCGCTCAGCCCCACCAGCACGTAGAGAGGGGCCACCCCCCGCAAACAGCGCCCCCTGCGGGCCGGAGCCGGAACGTCCGCACCTGGGGGGGGAGAGAGAAATTGGGGGGAAAAAGCTCACTTTTGGGTCAGAGGACTCTGAGGTAATGGGGGGGGAAATTGGGGTGAAAAACCTCACTTTTGGGTCTGATACCTCCTAGGGGTGGGGGAGGAAACTGGGGTGAAAAACCTCAGGTTTGGGTCTGGATGAATCAAAAGGGAAATGGGGGGGGAGAAATTGGGGGTAAAAATCTCATTTTTGGGTCTGGATGAAAGGGTAATGGAGACGGGATGGGGGGGGAATTGGGGTGAAAAACCTTATTTTTGGGTCTGAGGCCTCCAAGGGGTGATGGAGGGGATGAGAGAAATTGGGGTGAAAAACCTCAGGTTTGGGTCTGGATGAATCAAAAGGGAAATGGGGATGGAAGGGAGGGGAGAAGAATTGGGGTGAAAATCCTAATTTTTGGGTCTGGATGAAAGGGTAATGGAGACGGGATAGGGGGGAATTGGGGTGAAAAACCTCAGGTTTGGGTCTGGATGAATCAAAAGGGAAATGGGGATGGAAGGGAGGGGAGAAGAATTGGGGTGAAAATCCTAATTTTTGGGTCTGGATGAAAGGGTAATGGAGACGGGATAGGGGGGAATTGGGGTGAAAAACCTCAGGTTTGGGTCTGGATGAATCAAAAGGGAAATGGGGATGGAAGGGAGGGGAGAAGAATTGGGGTGAAAATCCTAATTTTTGGGTCTGGATGAAAGGGTAATGGAGACGGGATAGGGGGGAATTGGGGTGAAAAACCTCAGGTTTGGGTCTGGATGAATCAAAAGGGAAATGGGGATGGAAGGGAGGGGAGAAGAATTGGGGTGAAAATCCTAATTTTTGGGTCTGGATGAAAGGGTAATGGAGACGGGATAGGGGGGAATTGGGGTGAAAAACCTCAGGTTTGGGTCTGGATGAATCAAAAGGGAAATGGGGATGGAAGGGAGGGGAGAAGAATTGGGGTGAAAATCCTAATTTTTGGGTCTGGATGAAAGGGTAATGGAGACGGGATAGGGGGGAATTGGGGTGAAAAACCTCAGGTTTGGGTCTGGATGAATCAAAAGGGAAATGGGGATGGAAGGGAGGGGAGAAGAATTGGGGTGAAAATCCTAATTTTTGGGTCTGGATGAAAGGGTAATGGAGACGGGATAGGGGGGAATTGGGGTGAAAAACCTCAGGTTTGGGTCTGGATGAATCAAAAGGGAAATGGGGATGGAAGGGAGGGGAGAAGAATTGGGGTGAAAATCCTAATTTTTGGGTCTGGATGAAAGGGTAATGGAGACGGGATAGGGGGGAATTGGGGTGAAAAACCTCAGGTTTGGGTCTGGATGAATCAAAAGGGAAATGGGGATGGAAGGGAGGGGAGAAGAATTGGGGTGAAAATCCTAATTTTTGGGTCTGGATGAAAGGGTAATGGAGACGGGATAGGGGGGAATTGGGGTGAAAAACCTCAGGTTTGGGTCTGGATGAATCAAAAGGGAAATGGGGATGGAAGGGAGGGGAGAAGAATTGGGGTGAAAATCCTAATTTTTGGGTCTGGATGAAAGGGTAATGGAGACGGGATAGGGGGGAATTGGGGTGAAAAACCTCAGGTTTGGGTCTGGATGAATCAAAAGGGAAATGGGGATGGAAGGGAGGGGAGAAGAATTGGGGTGAAAATCCTAATTTTTGGGTCTGGATGAAAGGGTAATGGAGACGGGATAGGGGGGAATTGGGGTGAAAAACCTCAGGTTTGGGTCTGGATGAATCAAAAGGGAAATGGGGATGGAAGGGAGGGGAGAAGAATTGGGGTGAAAATCCTAATTTTTGGGTCTGGATGAAAGGGTAATGGAGACGGGATAGGGGGGAATTGGGGTGAAAAACCTCAGGTTTGGGTCTGGATGAATCAAAAGGGAAATGGGGATGGAAGGGAGGGGAGAAGAATTGGGGTGAAAATCCTAATTTTTGGGTCTGGATGAAAGGGTAATGGAGACGGGATAGGGGGGAATTGGGGTGAAAAACCTCAGGTTTGGGTCTGGATGAATCAAAAGGGAAATGGGGATGGAAGGGAGGGGAGAAGAATTGGGGTGAAAATCCTAATTTTTGGGTCTGGATGAAAGGGTAATGGAGACGGGATGGGGGGGGAATTGGGGTGAAATACCTCATTTTTGGGTCTGAGGCCTCCAAGGGGTAATGGGGGAAGAGAAAAATTGGGGTGAAAAACCTCATTTTTGGGTCTGGGGACTCCGAGGGGTAATGGGGGGGGAAAGAA